ATGCCTGGCCTGTATAAGCAGATATACTCACTGCGGACAATCCTCGTCAGATAGCTGAACTCGTCAATACCGATTCATTCAAAAGAGGTGTTTATTCTTTAACATCAGGTTACAGCAGATGATAGGAACAGCAGTTGAACGGTTATAGTATTGTGCGGTCAGAAGATGATGCCTTTCCTACGTACTGTGCAGATTACCTGTGTGTCCTAGTTACATGTGGCTTTCAACTGTGGCCATGACACAGGAAGTACTGCACACAGGAAGAAGGGAGGGGCATACATAGACTGGAAATATGTCGTCACATGGCGAACAGAAATACAGAAAAGACATGTGTGATATCACAAAGGCCACTAGATGGCAGCATAGGATAAGACATGGATTTGCTATGGGGAAAATAGTTAGGCAAAAACACACTATAATAACTCTATCTAAAACAATGCTAATATTAACTGAGGCTATGCATCTCATATTCTATGCCCCTATTGGGGCGGCACAAACAAGTTCAACACGGCCTCAAGTTGTTTCATCCTGTGCTCCCTCTGTGAGGGCAGGATGAGCTCTGCAACTTTACGCTTGTAACGTGGATCGAGAAGGGTTGCCAACCAGTATGCTCCAGCAGAAACACAAGAGGGATAGTGTCACTGATCTATCATTGTCATGGCTCCCCATCCTTGTCACCTCCTCAAATGGTGACAGTACAGTGCATGTATCCTTTATCAGCAGCCACTGTCATGGGGGGAAAAAAACCTGTCCTTGTGCCATGCTCACACATATACTCATTGATGGCCCTCTGCTGTGTAGGCAGCCTCTGCAGCATTGCCAAAATGGAGTTCCACCTGGTGGGCATATCACAAATCAGGCGGTTTGTGGGCAGGTGGAATTCACGTTCAATTTCAGCCAGACAAACACTGACTGGGAATAAGCACCTGAAATGGCTACAGACTTTTCTGGTCTGCCTCAGAAGATCTTGCAGCCCTGGGTACCTGGTTAAGAAACACTGCACCACCAAATTGAGGACGTGTGCCAAGCATGGTACATGTGTCAACTTTGCCTGTCGAAGGGCGGAGAGAAGGTTGCTGCCATTGTCGCATACAACCATTCCTGCCTCAAGCTGCCGTGAGCCTGCCGCTGCAGAGCTGAAAGAATCTCTGCCCTGGTGTGGCTCCTGTCCCCTAGACAAACTAGCTCAAGCACTGCATGGCATCTTTTAGCCTGAACTGCTGGTTCACAGGACAATTCAGCAGAAGAGGCCATCATGAAGGAGGAAGGAGAGGGGGTGGAGCAGACAGATCTCACATCATCACCACCAGCTTTTTAGAGGCATGGTGGTTGAACAAGCTCCAGCACTGAGCCCAATCCTGCATCCTTCCCAGCTGCAAGTAAAGTTACCCAGTGTGTGGTGAATTAAATATAACATCCCTGACCATGCTTGCAAGACCACGTGTCAGAGGTAATGTGGACCTTGCTGCTGTCTGCCTTATTCAACGAGGCCAAAACATTGCCTTCAACATGATGGTACAGAGCTGGAATGGCCTTACGTGAAGATAAATTTCGCTTGGAAACCTGCCACTGTGATACAGCACATTCTGCAAATTCACAGAAGGGGGCACAGTCCACCAGATGGAAAGGCAGCAGTTGTAAAGCTAGCAATTTGTCCAAGCTGGCATTTAGATGCTGAGCATGTGGATGGGTGGGACAGTATTTTTTTTTCACTGCAGCAGCTTGGGCAGCAAAAATTTGACTGGACAAATCTACAGCTGGTGGGCTGCTGGCATATTTGGCGTAAGGACCTGTGACACCCATTGCTATATCATCATCCCTGTCAGTGGAGGTTGTTGACATGGCATGACGTATAGTGGGGGTAGACATGACAGTTGAGGAGCAAGGAGAAGTGTGGACCTTTTTCTGGTGCTTTTGTCATTGGGCTGCACGGCAGGTAGTCAAGCACGTGGTAACCTGTTAAGGACTCGGACATCAAGAATCCGACATATATCTGTCCCTGGGCCAAATTCAGTACAAAGTGTGCACACTATCAGTGAAGAAATAAAACACGCTGACACAGAGTCAGAGAAAAGATACTTCTTTATTATTGTTCCGCATTGTTGTGTTTTATATAGGCAGCTGATAGCGTATATGTAAAAATAGCGTTTGCGATAGCTTTCTAGATTATAATTGGACTGATTCATTAAAGCGTAACCTCCTTCCAGGATGCTGACGTCTCGTCTTGGGTGTTGTTTCTCCTGGAGGCGCCATCTTGGTTTCTCATAGGAGGGGTGCTAAGTTGAGCAACTAACTAGGCAGCCATTTTGATTAAGGATTAATATGAACAGGAGCAATAACATATATATTACAATATATATTGAAATAGGCATTTTTATCGTAGTCACTTAACCACATCCATTACAACCAAGTGGCTGATGTTTTTGCCATGCTTGATCCGGTTGAGACAATGATTGTGAATAGCAATGCTGCAGTCTGCTGCACATGTGCTGAAAAACTCCCACACAGCTGAGTTCCTGGAAGTGTGCTAGGAGACAACAGCTCCCTGCACCTATGCAGCTCTGCTGTCTGATGCAATAGGGTGGCTGTTATAATGGCTGCCCCATTGTGGGCAGAGCCCATTACAAATCCTGCACAGCCCCCCTGAGACCCTGCAGACTGCAGGGCCTACAGGGGGCTATGCAGGATCTGTGAGGGGCTTTGCAGGGTCTCGGGCCTATGCAGGATCTGTGGTGGGCTCTGCCCACCATAGACCCCGCAGAGCTCACCACAAATCCTGCTAAGCCCCCCTGAAACCACAGCTTTCCTGCTATGCTAATAGCGGAACATGTCAAAAGCTGGATACAGTGTTTTCACTGTATCAAGCGACTGACAGGCCACACAAAAAGTATTAAACAGGAAGGGGTGGGGGTAAATGACCGTTGTCATTAAAATAGACATTTGCTGAATCTACTTATTGGAGTGCTGTTGACATTTTGTAGTATCTACGTGGAAAAGGTAAGACGGTACGCTGTAATCCCAAGTGTGGCTCGGGGTTACCGCTTACGTTACTGAAAATTAACCCCGAACCACACTCGGGAATACTGCCAGGGAGGTTAAAAGAACAAAAACACAAACAGTTTTTTTTGTAAAAAAAAAAAAAGTCTCCATCGATGTAATCCATCACTAATCATCGCTGTCGTCCAGCGATGTAGATCCACATCAATCACGATGGATGCCCACCAACCCATCTGATTCCCACGCAGGGCCGCCATCTGGGAGGTACGGCCGATACTCATGTAAGGGGCCCGGGAACCTTACATAGGTATTGGCCAACGGACCTACAGGCAAAATGCGAGGAGGTGGAGGCGGACGGGCCCCCTGCACACCGGAGCCCCTGTGTGCCAGTTGCCGGGGCCCGCACACTCCAGATCCTCACTTGGAGGGCTCTGTGCAGGCTTCCAGTGTCCCTGTCTCTCCCTGTCTTCACTGCACATTGGATTTTTAAAGATGGCCGCCGTGAGTAGCAGTGACCATCTGTAAATCTGGCAAGTGCACACATCCTATTTAATATATTGCCGATGATGAAATAAGGTGATGTGGAATAAGGAACGTACAGCATGGTATATAGAATGAGCCAGTGTGGAACAGGAAATGTACAGCATGGCATACACAACGAGTCAGTGTGGAATAGGGAATGTACAGCATGCTATATGGAGTGTACTAGAAGTTATGTTTGTTCCTTAATATAATGATTCCAGCTCTATTCAGCTAGTGCGGACCCGCAATTGATTGCATTGACAGATTAGCTAATCAGTCCCCTGGTCAGGAACCTAAGGATGAGGATAGGTCATACTTGTCAACTGTCCCATTTTTGCTGAGACAGTCCCATTGTTTAGGTAATTGTCCTGCGATGCCTGTGTCCCGAGTTGGTTCCTGGGAACACAGGGTGTGGCTCGTTGAGGGCAGGGCTGCCAATAGGGTGGTACAGACAACTAACTGGCATCGGTGGGGGTAGAATAATGACAGTGGACTGCTGCTGTCATTATTCAACCTCCATTGCTGCCGGTTAGTTGCTAGGCATTCTAGCAGTTAACCGGCGGCGCCGCGGGGGGTCTGACAGTCTTAGATGCAGATATACAGCTGGGAGGCTTATGGCACAAAAAGTGCACTGGTTTTTTTTTCAGGAGGATATGAAGGCAAAATGTATATCTTTCAGAGTACTACTTAAGTATATTGCTTCATGCTTGGGGCACCATCTTAGCAATGGACCCTGCCACCACAGGGCATTTCTCCCTCCCATGATTAACAGAGCGCAGGGAGTGGATCCAAAGGAGGATTCTGATTGGCTGCAAAGGTGGCCAAAACTTAAGCCCACTCCTAGCAACCAGGAAAAGGATTTTGTAACCCCTCTTGGAGCTGCAGGGAGAGCCCAGAAAGGATCAGCCAGAGTGGGGAGAGGGCCCCAGTTACCACTGCAGGTTAGTTATTAGGATTGCCTGGCATCGAATAATCACAGCAGAAGTTCGGTGTCTGCTGTCTCTGTGTGTTGGCTATGCTCTTCCTTTAGATTACTGTTCACTATAAGTGTTACCTTTGATGATTTACTCTTTTCAAAACTAATATGCACTTTGATGTCTTTTGGTATTTATTATGCTTGAACTGCCTTTATAATGTTTCACCAGGCAGGAAAACTAGTTTTAAAATATGACTTATACAATTATCTGTATTCTTGTTCTAGGTCTGTGCCTCAGAATGTTTTGAAGCCACTGAATCAGCAGGAAGTGCCAAGGAATAAGGAATCCCAGTAGGAGAATGGTAGTCTCCATATTCTCCTTGTAGGTGTAGATTTTCTTAAAGCCCAACTCCGTGCACAATAGCTTTAATGTAGTTCAGTAAATTGTAGAGGTCCTTTGTTGTAAATCCATCTGCCGTAATTAGATCTGATTCCTTCTCTCCGCAAATCTTTAGTATACCTGCGGGTGGAAATCTAGCCTCCGTGCAAGTCTCCTAGACCTCACCTATGAAGTCGCATCTCCGTCCCCCACTCCTCCTGACCAATCACAAAATGGAGTCTGGGCTGTTTGCTTTGTGATTGGCCAGGAGAAGAAGGGGATGGAAATGTGACCTCAGCGCTGAGGTCTACGCGATGTGCTGTGCTGCAGCAGAAGTGGGTGCGGAAGTTCAGCAGGAGCTGGACTTCTATCCACAGGTATACTGAAAATGTATGGGTAGAAGAAGGAATATCTAATTATAAAAGGTGAATTTACATCAAAGGTCCTCTACAACCTACTGAACTGCAGTCAATTTGTTGTGCCCGGAGCTGAGCTTCAAAGAGGAACTCTAGGAATCCCAAAAATTAAACCTTGCAGTGGGCTACTCCCGCACTGCAAGAGTTAACTGCTTGTCTTGGTCTAGTGGCTGGAATACAGATGTACTCACCTGATCCTCGATCCCACAGCAGTCAGTGCTCACCTCTCTCCCCCTCTACTCCGGCTGTGGTATGTGCCTTGGCATCCTCAAGTCTAATGCAGGTAAATGGACCTGCATTAGATGTGATGACAGCAGCAGGGCTTAGACTGCTGGAGCCAAGGGAAGAGGAGGCTGCTGGGATCAGGAAAGTTTTTTTTTTTTTTTATTGCAGCCCCTAGAACAAAACGAGCAGTTAACCCTTGAAGTGTGGGGCTCCACTGCAAAGGTTAACATTTAGATTCCTGGAGTTCCACTTTAAAGTTGCACTTTGAATTTTAAAAAAACACAGTATTTTTGCTGCATGTGATTGGATGATTGAAATAAGCTCAACATTCATTAAGCTAAATGAATGTTCTCTTTGCAAAGTTAATTTTTTTACCACAATTCTGTGCGATCAGAATCACCAGAATTCCCTCCACTTTAAACCTGTGGACCAGATGAGGAAGGAGTTAAAGAGGAGTAACGGCATAGATCGTGTTGAACTAATCCAACTGAGTCATCAGAGAATCCTCTGTTGCTAGAGGATCCCTTGCTCTGAAGATAAACTTGCCCCATTTGTTGTTGAATCTGGGAGATAGGAGGTCCATGTCCAGTGTTCCCCACCTGTAACAGGTAAAGTGTGACAAAACCTGATAAATGGTACACACTAGCTGCTGAAAGTAGGGGAGGTTATATGGCTTGTACTTTGACAGCATCATTATCAGGGAGTAGCAAGGAGAGCTCTCACATAGATTCTTGCTGTGTGGCCTGGGCCGGATTTACTCTCTCTGCTGCCCCAAGGTCAGATTCCACAATGCGCCCCCCTCCCTGCCAACCCCCCC